TGCAAGCCTTCAAAGATTCACACATGACTTTAACAGGCATCTTAACAGCCAGAAAATGTTCCCGCTCCTTCTGTTAATATTACTCCACTTATTTTGTCCAAACAATATGTAATCTCATGGCTCATGTTTCTCCACCCACTGTTTTTGCCCCCCCTTTTTGTATTAGCCTCAACAATTTCACTTATTCTGCCAAATTCACATAACCACAGAATCATTAATGTTGGAAAAGACCTCCAAAATTATCAAGTGCAACCTTTGACCAAACACCATCACATCAACCAGATCATAGAAGTAAGTGCCACATCCAGACGTTTCTTGAACACCTCCAGGAATGGTGACTTCACCACCTCCCTGGGCAACCCCTTCCAACGCTTGACAACCCTTTCAATGAAGAAATTCTTCCTGATGTCCAACCTGAACCTGCACTGGCGCAGCTTAAGGGCACCTCCTCTTGTCCTGTCTCTGGCTGCGTGGAAGAAGAGGCCAACCCCCACCTGGCTACAACCTCCTTTCAGGTAGTTGTAGAGAGCAATTCTGTCACCCCTGAGCTTTCTTTTCTCCAGGCTAAACAACCCCAGCTCCCTCAGCCGGTCCCCACATGACTTACATGACTTACTCTTTAGACCCTTCAGCAGTTTTGTTGACTTTATGGTCTTGTGTAGTGTTTCAGGATAACACTTACAAGATCTTGCTACACAGAATCATACTGAGACAACAGGCTTCAAGTGAATCAAGTTAGGAAATGGAATTCTGGAGGTCGTACACAGAGTCTGACCCTTATTCCAGCAGCAGTAAAAAAATCAGCATCAGAAAAAAAATGTGAGAAAAGATGAGTCTTTGCAATACTATGGTTAGGCAATATCTTGCAAAGTGATAAGCATATTAGAGCAAGAAAAAAAAGTATGAGAAGCTGAAGACATCATCTTAAAGCTTTCAATGACAGAAGTCTTATGGCAAAAGTTCGTGTTATTAGTGGCTGTGGAGTAAAGACAGTAATATATATTAAAAAACCTTCCCCACCAGAAGCCCATACCTTGGAGGATACATGTTCAAAAAGCACCTAAAATCTTTCATAAAGTTTATAAACCTGGGCTGAATGCCAGTTTTTGTCTTTCTCCTCAAAATGGAACATGTGGATAGCATTCAACCTCCTTTGCTCAACACTTATCTCAAAACAGCTTCTACCTTGTGCTAAGCCTTTAGACTGGTCAGTAGTATTGCTTAACCACGCTTTTATCTAGTTAGTCATTGAGACAACTTACCTGTACCAATTGTGGTGGCTGCAGTACCCAGATATACCCATGACATACTGCAGCATCATTATCAAGATGCCTCACACACATTACAGTAATTCCTTCATCCAGGCTGGATGGCAGCAGACAATATTCTTCTTTATTTTCAAAACGAAAATAAAAATAAAGAATGATAAAATCTGTCAGGTAACACAACAGAGATAACGCAAAAAAGAAAAATCCACATACTTTCTTTGTTTAGCAATCAATGACATCACACATCTGTCCGTTCTAGAACACTACAGTGCTCTCAAACAGCATCACACTAGTTTTTGCAGCTCTTAGATGTCAATAAAGCACCCCATGAGACAAGACTTCAGGGCAAAATTTTGGTTGTGCACTTTGAACCATTATTCATTCATTTTCTTATTGATTCACGTCTACACAGAGCAAAAAAAATTTAAATTCTTTACTATTTCACTGTCCTCTCCATGTAAGTTATCCCTGTCTCTGCTTTGACCTCCAGTTTATCAGAAATAATAAGTAAAGGAAAAAATATAGTATTTCTTCTTTAAGTTAGATTTATCATTCAAAAATTTATGAAGCCAATGTCTCTCCTGCCTCCTTGACTAATAATGCCTCCTACTCAAGGAGTTAAAGTTTTTATATAAATAATTATTCGATTTTTTTTTAACTTCAGTTACTTCGTGGCTGGGTACCCCTCTTATCATGATTTCTGTGTCAAGTTGTTCTTCCTTTGTCTTGAACAAAACCTTTTTCTGAATCTATGTCACAGAACTCTTTCCATAGATAAATACGGAGAATCAGAGAGAATTTCAGAGTACAAAATTTCTTTTCAAGCCTTTCATTTTCCCCAGGTGTTTTTCTAAGGTTATAACTCATCATACCACTCTTTCAGAGACAGCAGAATCTTTATCTCGTACGTCATGCATGATTATCACTTCCTTTCTTTAAACATGTGTTTACAGGTCAATTTTACCAAGCTTTTTGCAAGTTAAATATACAAGTACGATCAGCAAAATTATATCCAAGACAATAATTTGGAAACTTATCTTTATATTTATGTGTTCTTCAAAAATTTCTGGTCAGATATCCTGGATGAGGAGACAGCCCTATAACAATTCCCAGCTTAAGTGAGACTAATTAGCTTGCTAAGCTTTCTCAGTCATTCCAACCTTGAATTTAAATTTCATTTTCATTGTTTCACAGAACAGTCTTTCTATTAACAGGAATATGAAAAAAGTTGACAAAATTAGGTGAAAACCACAGAAGACTACTGCAATACTTGGTAGTGCATTTGACCTGAGAGTGCAAGCTTGGCTTCAAACTGAATTTAAAGGGAGGGAGGGGGGAAAAGTAGTATTTTACACCAATATTATAAAACTGATATTACATCTAAGAGTATTTTATTACAACATGGAATCAAGTGTCTAAACAAAGGTGTTTTCTTAGTGGAAGCCACATAAGAATATTACTTCCATGTTGCAGTGTTTTTTAAATAAAAATTAGAATAAATTTGAATTTGATTAAATAAAACTTAATAGATGGGTAAAGAGAACTTCTTCAGATGTTATGAACCAAGCCTATTTTCATCTTTCCTTACACGTTTTGCACTGAAATAGATTAAAACTCTTTTTAGTTTGTTCAATTTCCTGGCATTATAGGAACTAAAACCTGCCAAAATTTTTATTTATGCTGTTAAATACCTATGAAATGAGCCTAGAATAAATAGTTAGTTATTTCAAATCAGTTAATGGTTTGCAAATATTTTCAGTATATTCAGACACAATACCAAGCAAATATGCAGAATGTTTCGGGAAATCAGACAGTAAAACAGCATGCCCAGCACAAACCTTGACTCCCTTCTTTTTCTTTCCTAACCATAAGAAAGTGAGTACTGTCATGGTAACACAACAGTACTATTTCACATTCAGATAATTTGCACATCATCACAAATCAGTAGATGAACCTGGCTACAGAAAAAACACCACCTTATGTCCACCTGCATCCCACACCAGAGCAGGCAGATGCCCAAAGGAGGATGTGAATAGGAAGCCCATGCTGGAGCAGGCTCCTGGCAAGACTTGTGGCCCCAGGGTGAGAGGAGCCCACACTGCAGCAGGTTTGCTGGCAGGACCTGGGTGGATCCATGCTGGAGCAGCCTGTTTTCCTGAAGGACTGAACTGTGGACACACACTGGAGCAGTTTGTGGAGAACTGAATCCTCGTAGGGGAGACTCACACTGGAGAAGTTCGTGGAGGACTGTCTTTTGTGGGTGGAACCCTATGATGGAGCAGGGGAAGAGCGAGAAGAGGAAGGAGTGGCAGAAAAAATGTGCGATGAACCGATCACAACTGCCACTGGCTGCCCCCTTGCACCACTGGGAGAGAGGAATTCAGGAGTAAAATTTGGCCCTTAAAGAAGGGAGGGGGTGGGGGCAAGGTGCTTTGAGAATTTTTTTTTTTTTTTTTTCTCATTGTCCTACTTTGATTTGATTGGTAATATGCTTTGATTTGATTGGTAATAAATTAATATAATTTCCTTGAGCCAAGACTGTTTTACCCACAATGGCAATTGGTGAGTGATCTGTCCTTGGCCTTATCTCGACCCGTGAGCCTTTTGTTGTTTGTTCTCTCCCTTACCCAGTAGAGTAGAGGGAGTGACAGAGCAGCTTTGGTGGGTGCCTGACAACCAGGCAGGGTCAACCCACTACACCTCTCCTTGTCCCAGTGTGGGAAAAAAGAAACTGAATTTTGCAAGGAAAACAGCCTTTTTGTTTATCTGCCTCACAGTCCGCTCTGTTTCTAAGAAGAAAAATAGGCTGAGGTTTTTTCTGTTTAATCTTAGTGTAGAAATTCAGGAAACACATACTGGGTAAAAGCATTTAGATCTTTTGAAGGTTCAGGACATGTTTTGTAGACAGCAACCCAAAATAACCTAAGAATATTTGTCTATTTCCATTCACCCAAATTACTTGCTTAAAGTAAGTTTAGGGATGAGGTAAGTTCATGCACTCTTTATGGCTGCAGATTGAAGAGGTTACTAGCTGAGGCTTAAGCACGTGATGTGACACGTTGAGAAGTAGGTGCCTCACTCAAAAACATATCAGGCATTTCTGTATTTTGTTCTGCAAAGGTGCGGTGGGCAGCACAATACAAATGTCTCTGCTTTTCTGCTTAGATAGTCCAAGTTCAGTTGTGTTTATTAGCTTCCCTTCACCTGGACCCACGCTAATTCAGTTCAGAGCACCTGCCCATCTACCTAGTTTTGTTTCTTTTTATTAAAAGAAGGCTTATTAAATTGAAGAGTTGCTCACAAACCCAGGGTTTAGGTTCAGCAGCTAAAGTGCTGGGCAACAGGCATTGTGCTACGGACAAAACATGAGATATTAAGCTAGCAGAGTCAAGAGCTAGGAAGCACACAAAATGACAGTTATCTATGCAATATTATTTCACAATACCTTTTTCTTTGCACAGTCATTAGTGTAGGGCCTAATTACACAAGCACATACCGTTAAGTGCACAGGTTGCCCAAATCATTTAACACTATTTTCATTTCAGTGGACAAGAACAAGAAGAACATCACTGTTGCTGATTAACATTAAATAGGGTTCTTTTTCTTAATAATCTGGTTTTCCTAATCTCCAGCAAATAACACAGTCAAAAAGAATGTGTTACAGCATTCTGGTCACAGATTGATAAAGGTTTCCATTTCAAAATCCTTATTTTTTCTCTCTAATTGGAGAAGATTTTTGTAAGATAATGCTCCAACTGACAGTTATTTGAGTGGTTTGTAACCATCATTTGCAGAAGATAAACACAGTAGCTACTCTTGATCCAAGCCGACCTTGCCTTCCTGACAGTAAATAGAAAAAAAAAAGGAAAAGGAAAAAAGAGGGTAAGAGGGTTTTAAAGAAAAGCAGGCATTAAAAAGCAGAATGCCTATTCACGATTTTCACATGCAGCCTTGCTGCTGCAACAGGCACAGAATATGTTTTTATTAGCCACTCCAAAAGCACAGAATATTTCTCTCACCACAGTGTTTTTAATGACTGAAAACCAAGTTCACAGTACACAAAAAAATGCAGTAAAAATGAGGGAGTAAAACACTTTTGCAAAGTTCAGAAAGAAAACCAGTGAAACAAAACGTAATATGTTTTCCCAGTTCCCAATGTCATGCTCAAGCCATTTCAGTATGTTCTGTTGCAGGATACTCAGCTGCAGCCTTGACAATGCTGTTATTACATATTTGGTTATAATGTCTAACTGGATAGAATTACTTTGGAGCTAGTTCAAGGTAGAGAAGATTATGTTCAAGCAGAGGAACAAACAATTACATCAGACATTCCTGAGATTGCCGATAGAAATTGAAGTTACAAACCAGGTAAATTTAAGACAGGACAGACTCTGTTCTTGATGAAGATTATGATCTGAGTCATCAACTTGAAATTAAAATTAGACCTTATTAGTGTCAAAGAAACCACTACTGATCACTGAGTACAAAGTAGGAATAGCATTTTAAAATGTGAACAAATAATTTACGCTTCTGAGCTGGTGTAGGGTAGGAACATTGACTTCCCTCCACTCCTTAACTTTCACTTTTTTAAGCATCACAAAGAAAAAAAGATGCTGTGTTAGTAGGTATTTTAGAATACCAAGGAGGCTAATATTTGAGAACATTTCTAACAATTTTATAAAACTATCACCATTCCTATTACATAAAGAAAAATTTCACTGAGATATTTCAGCCACACACAGGCTACAGCACAGGAATATCACATCAACTCTAATTTGCAGGAATGTATTTTATAAAACAAAACTCCAAAGGCTTATTATAACAAGAACTTCGGGTCTACTTCTTTTCTTTGAGCATATGTTTTGAAAAATGTCACAAGACTGACCTCTGGTGGGTCATAAATTACCAAGCATCTGAAGTGACACACAAAAAATAAATATGTATCATGCACGAGAAAAGGAAGGGATTTTTCACAGAATCCTAGAATATTTTTCATAGATTTCAACATAAGAAGGACATACTAGTCTTCACAGTCTCCCACAGCAAAGAAGTGAATATGCTACAAGTCATTATAACAAACAAGAAACTATAATGATTCCACTACTTATTCACTCACCAGTATTTGAACACAAAATTAGCTATAGGACACAGAACTACTGCTTTTTTATGAGATTAAATTTAAACAGCTAGCACTGCATATAACCTTTGAACCTGCCTAAATTTTAGTCATGCACAAGGCCAGATCCTCAAATGAATAAGTGCTCAGGTTAAAACAAACAAACAAACAAACCAAAACCAAAAAAAAAAAACCCAAACATATCCAGCTCCACCTTCCACCCTTCTCAAGTCTTCGCTGCTTACCAATATAAGTATTTCATTATCTGAATGTACTCCATAAGATAATCAAGCGAACACCTGCCCTTTTTTTCTAATAAACAGGAAAGACTGACATGATGAAAATTCTGTTTAAGGAAACAATTCCAAATACCTTCCATAATCTACAGTTTTGTAAAAGCTACAAAAACTGCGATTTTTCAATGTCAGTCAGTCAGCACCAAGTGTAGAGGTTGCACAAGATGAGTCAGCTGGTTTTGCATAACAACTTCCAATTTAGACCTTCAAGAACCACATCAGCCTTTTGCCTCAGCATTATGTTGGGAAGCTTTGTTCACTGTAAGAGAAACTTTTTACAGAGCTGTGGCCTTCCAGAACACAGTCTATCCTCTCTTCTTTATTTTCATTTTTACATGACCTACTTATCTTTTTCTCAGACATATAACTTTGAAGCGATCATACTGAATGTATTTTCAACCTGCAATGTTCCATATTAACGCCTCAGTTATTACTGAACATTCTGAAAACACTAATGAGATTAGCTAATGATGCTAACAGATTTTTATTTTCACATCCTCAAAGAAAACCAACTGATAGGAAAATCTATGGATCTAATGCAAAAACCCATAGAGCATATCTCCATCATGATTCCCTTGTCTGTACATGTAGGCAGTTCTTAATCACTTAAACACTTACTGACATTAACCAGGAATAATTGTATCAGATGCTACTAAATGAAATGCCATAATGATCCTATTGTACCCACAATTTTTAGCCATATCCATGGCTCCATCAGTACTTCCAAGGTATAAAAAACAGATAAGAGCTAAGTCTATTGTCAGTTTACCTAAATGTTCTATATAAATATCCTATCGTCCTTAAATTTTCAGCAAAAACTGACAAACATTATAAAATAAACTTGTAATCTCAATCACTAAGAAAAGCAAGTTTGTCATTCAAGAGTATGCTCTCTATAAAGAATTTAAACAATGCATTGAATAGGCTTTAGCTTTATTACTACGTTTTGGGTTTGGTCACTAAAATTCTGTATCAGTTTTTCCAGTTTTGCCCAGCTTTGCCATCAGTCATTTACTCTTGGCTGTTCGGATCATTCTCAATTCTCCTTTTGAATAACAGTGTATTTGACACTGTTCTGGTACTACTCTGCTTTTGTCAGGACAATCAAGAGATTGTGTTTCAGATAGCTTTAGATACCAAAAGTTCAAAAAAGCAGTGAAATTGAAATTTACTGTCCCTAACCAACACTGTTTAAATACCCCGCTTCTTTCAATTACATTTAAAAAAAGGATTCCAAAACATGTATCAGTTTTCTTCTTTTCAAACACAGACTGGATTTTCTCCTCTATGTAATTTAATTATCTTGGTAAAATGAAATCGGAGTTAAACACCCAAACAAGAACTTATATCACATAATTTTATATCTTTAGAATTATTAAATTGGTCAACTTCTTTTACAGTCAGTAGAATGGAACACTCAATTCTCAAACATGATTTATAGAGGAGATAAATAGTATCCTGGATGCATAACTATCCTATAATCTAAGATTCTGTGGGGAAAAAAAAAAAAACAAATAAAAAACTGACACCAAATACAGGAAGAGACGTTTATTAGAAAATATCATACAACAAATACTGGAAAACAGAGCTAAAAACCTATATAAGTTCTAAACCCACTTTATAGGCTTTCTTTTTCTGAAAAGATTCTCTGCTCACTCTTTTGCTTCAAGCCTAATTAATTGATGAAAATAGTAATATTAATGCATTAGAGCTATTATAAAGTACACTAGAATTTCCAAACTATTAAAATACCTACAGAATTATATATATGAGTGTATGGATTTAAAATCTAAGCAGTATGAGCTTATCTAAAGCTTGAATCATAAGCTCTCAGGCAATAGACTTAAAAAATTGTGATCAAGAGATAAAGACAATTATTTGAGTTAGAACAGCCTCTGTGAAAGAAAGAGATGCTCTTATAAAGTAAAATATCTGCTTAGGAAAGAGATGGAAAAAGCTCTGGCATATCACAGCAGTAAGAGTAAAAAGTGTGGTATTAACAGACCACCTTTTTCCACTTTAGTACTTTTTTCCACTTAGTGGAATATGAAGGCACAATCACCCACATTTTGCCTAAGGTTCCTCCAGTATGAAGTGAAGTATTATCTGAAAATAGTTTCAAAAAGTAACATTAGTCAACAATCATTCTGTGAAGTCATGAGTGCAAACAGCTGATACCACGATCCTGGTAAATCAATCAGGTGAGTTAAACAGACCATAAAATACGAGCAATTAAATTATCCTTATGTATTAACAACTAAGAATGGTAGCTATTACTCAAGGAACAGCACAGGACTAGACCAAAGGGTTTTCCAGATGACTGATTGTTAATTTAGAAGCTGGAGCAAGCTGTTTGTGTAAGGAAAAAGTGCAATGTTAAGCAAAGACTCAGCTCCCTTCTCAAGAAAGGAAAATATTATACCATTCTTCCCTTTTGAGGAAATGCTATAGCAAAACTGTCACAGATGTGTCACTAGGAACCAATGGGTCAGGAGGACTTCCACTTTTATGCAAGACTTGCTTTCTGACCAATCTTATTATACTTCATGGATTAGTCATGGAACTAAATTATTCTATATGAGTAGTACAGTCAGTCAAAGTTTGACACCATGTAAATACACAGAATAGTATGGCATTTCTGAAACGTTATGTCACCCTTGAAGATTTAGCACAAAAGGTAAGAACTGGCCTCAGACCATTTTTAAAAGTAATTTTAATGCTTCCTCATTATTTGAGAAGTGTACTTTTTAGTATTAAATTTGATTAAATCAAAGATTACTGATAAGAAGCTTAAGTATCACCATGACAACATCATGAAAATGTGTACTGTTCCAAATCACACTGAACAAGAAATAATCCAAACTATTAAACCAACTAACTTCTAAATACATTGCAAAGTTTATTGACTGGTTAGGAGGTTAGTAAAGTGCAAATGCTGTCAATGTTGCATTGCCTACTAAAATGTCAGATAGAAATTTGTTCAGATTTCAGCTGTCTTCTCTCCTGCATAGATTACTCTGACATTCAATAAGGTATAAAACGCTGTTCTTTAAATATCTAATGGATAACAAGAAATCATCACTCGAAGTATATAGAGGAAAATGGTAATGCTTTAATAGCTAAAAGTGCCGTCAGAATCAAGTATATGTTCAGTCAAGTTATGGGTACAGTAGATAACACAAAACAAATTGAATCAATAAATGCATGTATACTACAATAGCACTTCAATATTTGAATTCCACTTCCAGAGGAAACACAAGGCTTTAGATTTTTTGATAAAATATATGCCATTGTCAAGCAGCCAGTTTTGTACAGCAATACGTAGTAAAAGCATACAGGAAAGACTGGGTTGCTTAAAAGAATGGGTCAGCATTACAGAAAGTTAATGGAATTTCAACAGGAGTTGACTCATGCTGTAATGCATCATATGAATTCAGAAAATTAAGAATTAGTTTTTATAGTTTTCCAAAATAAATCTGACATATCAGGGTTGCCAAGATGTCCAAGAGTGTTCTGACCTGCCCCTGAGGTCATAACCAATCCCTTGGGGCAGATCAGCATGAAACAAAACAGAATGACTGGTGGGTTTTTACACACACACACACACACACATGTATGTATGTATGTATGTCAGGTTTATTTTGGAACAATTTGATTGCAATGGAAACAAGGTGTGTAGCAGTTTTGGGTTTATCTATAGAAATACAATAATATAAAGGTATAAAAATAACACCCAAGAAAATATACAAGAGAAACAAAGGATAAGAGTAGATAGTGGAAAGGAGAGATACCACCACCCAACAAGACTTGATTGCAACTACCATGTCTGTTGGTCAAAGTGATGGTTGCAAACTTGATCCATCGGGGTGGGGGAAGCCCATGAAACATAAAGTTCAATGCATTCATAAACATTCAGGTTCAGGTGGCAACATCCAGGTACCTCTCCTGGAGGGGGGAGTTTATACTGTCTGTTGTAACACTGTAGATCATGCACAGTCCTCTCGTGGAAAGTTCTGGGGGTAGTTTGGGGGTCCTTGATGGTTTATGACCCCTTCTAAGACATGACTGCTGTTTCTCAAACCAATTATGCCTTAACAGAAGGAATGAATACCCTCAGGCCTACGTGTGAATGTCCCAGTGTAGGAACCACGTGACACTAAGCCTTTACGTAATAAAGAAGGATGCACACTCTTCTGAGGTGGTAATCAAAGAGGTTTATTTCAAATCCGGCGCTTCCCTTTATACCCTGATATCATGTGACCTTCTAACCAATAGGGTTATCGATTTAGATGCATGTTCCTTTGGGCTTCTCTGCCCCCGCACGTCCTTCGTGCCTTGGACACGCCTCCTACATCCCAGTACCTCTTCCAGGATGGAGAATTTTATACTTGAGCCAGTTGTTGAAACTGGCATCGTAGAAGACATTATCACACCTCACGGGATCTGCTTTTTATAGGACTCTTCCCTTATCTGTCTCAAAACCCAGCTTTTTGTTAAACAGAAGTCAGTTTGTTGTGGTCATCCTCTGGTGGTGGATGCTCACCGGCTCTGCACCCTGGGCTGTCCTTCTGCAGATCAGAGGTTTTGCCACCACACACTCAAAACTCTTCACATCCTCTCACTTGAGGGTGCAAACTTGGCCTCAGCAAAGCACATTGCTTTTACAAATGACCAATTGTTTGAGTCATTAACCTCCAATATTTCAGTCTCTCACAAACAGCAAGCCAAAATCCAGTGTTCCGTATTTACTCAAGCATGTACAGTACAGCAAGTTAATTCCTCAAGCTACATGTGCACAAACATGGCCTAGTTTATGCAAGAGACTCATTTTCAGGTAAAAAAAAAAAATCCATTGACTAGTTACCAACAATACATTGCACAACAAATACATTTAGACCTTGAAATGATGGGCAAATCAAGCCACAGCAAGAGTACATTATCACCCATATAGAATAATCCCCTTGAGTGTGTTGTGAGTTTTTTTGTTTGTTTTTTTGTTGTTGTTTTTACTGCTAGTTTTTGTTTGTTTGCTTGTTTTAAAACAACAGACATTTAAAAAACTAATAACTTACAAAAATACTGATAACCATAGAATCAAGCACGTTGGAAAAGACCTCCGAGATCATCAAGTCCAACCCTTGATCCAACACCACCATGGTTATTAGACCATGGCACTAAGTGCCACATCCAGTCTCATCTTAAAAAGCTCCAGGGACAGTGAATCCACCACCTCCCTGGGCAGCCCATTCCAATAAAATGTCTCATATTTCTACCACCTCAATACTCTCTTCTTTCAACATTTTCTACCATCTCAGTAGTATCCCCAGTAGTTTTTTCAGTAGCTACATGATGCTCAGGCTTCTTTTGCATAAAATCCATTGGTAAAATATTCTGTCTCAGTTCGTTGACATATTTCAAACCATTTACATCCGAAAGCTTCTGGTTCTGTGAAATGGTTGAAAAGGTTTTTTTAAGGCCCATGTCAGGATTGGTGGTTTCTGTTTAGTTTTTTCAGGAAATAGCACTGCTTCAGTTTCAGGTGTAGGAAATCGTACTCTATACACTTCAGGGTAAGATTTCTGAAACTAGAAAAGTACATTAATTCAAATTAGAATTTGACCAACTTGTAAAATAAACTACTAAAGTGCAACCTCCACTTCTGGAGCAGGAAAATTATTTATCTAATGGACTTTCTACATCTCCATATATAGAAAATATCACCTAATTTTCTAATATGGGTTGATTCATCACAGTATTCCAATTCTAATGATATAAAGCTGATACCCCCAAGCACACACGCCATTTTAAATTTCAGTATTTCTGTACAGGAATACATGTCTAAGACTTGATAAAAATTTTTAAGTTCAAATTAGAGACTGTAGAGCAATTTTTATTTACTTGCTTGAGCTTCTTCTTTTTATCTTTCAAAGGTATTTCTTTATTCATTACAATTTCATCCAACAAAGCTGCCAGTGGTTCTTGAGAGCCAGTTGCCCTTTGGTATTCAAATTCATCTGTACTGATTTGGTGACAAAATGGTGGAGGAGGAAATGTTGCATCAGTATCAGCTCTAGCACATTTAATCTGAAGAAATAGTAAAAAAAAAAGAGCGCTATGTTTTCTGCAAACAATTTACAAAAACTGGCTTAATTAACTGACCACCCAGAAACTTTAAGTAGAGAAGATATGGCATACAGACCCTAAACTGTACTTTCTCTCTCTTGTACTAATCAAGTGAGTTCCAGTAAGTCAAAAAACATGACACAAAGGAAGCCTGTTCAACTCTTGAAATAAGTTTAAAGTTACTTTTTCACTAGAAAATAAAGATAGAGGAACTAAAAGCCAGTTTTGAACAAAACAAAATATGGTATCAGGAAACAGAGTTATAAAAAAATGATCAAGTAAGGATGGCTCTAAAAAAAAAAAAAAGGCTACAACATTAATGGAAGCACTTTATAATCCACAGTTTTCCTCACTAGTATGTAGTTTACCCTTTCCATGGAAAAGATAGTGCTGATTAACAGGAAAACATATTTTAAACTTCTTGTCTCTAAACCATTCAAGATTTGCTTAGTTGCATGTGAACACATAGTTAAGGTTGAATATCAGTTGTCAGAATTAGTTAGCTCTTCAGAAGCTAACAGAGACAGAACAGAGTGTTTTAAGAACTGTTGAACTTTGGAGAACAAAGGATAAATTTGACCTGAAACACAGAGACAAAAGGGGCTTTTTCTCTAGATACTTACTTGGACTCTCTGGAGACGTACAACATGATCCTCTACAGAAGATTTTAAAGCAGAAGGAACACTTAAGATCTCTTGATAATTATCCATGAGAAAAGATACTAGTTTGGCAGCAAGCAGTTCATCCAAATCTATTTCATCATTTGAGCAGAGGATACAACGGGAAAACGCCTGAACCATCTGAGAAAAAAAGCAACATCATTATTATGTATTTTTCTGTTTGGGACTGAGGAGTAGGGAATCAGGCTGCATTTAAAAAGTGACCTTGTAGAATAAATATTTTAACATCACAATACTTACTGTACTTCCAACACACTAGTATAATAAAAAAACCAACTTGTTATGTACAGTGACATTATGTTAGTGGTGGATTGAAGATTACTCCTGCCTCACATAGATAATCCAATCCTGACTTTAGACTTAGAATGAATGAATTCCATTTTGTTCTCAAGACTTGATCAAACAGCCACTTCACAAGGCTATTTACAGTTAAACAGAGAATAAGTATTTAGAGATTTTTTTAATATAACACAGAACTTTCATAGAAGTTAAGCATGAGAGGGAAAACTGAATACCACTATTTTGAAATCACCAAACCAAATTTCAGGTCCAGTTCACTTCGTGTAGTCTTGTGCTCAAGCATTATGTCTGTGCACTGGTCTTTTCTAACGTTAAAAGCACAGAAGGTAATAAGGATTTCTGTCATGTACCACAGACTA